AGCACGATTTTCCGCGCCCCGACCTCCCGCAGTATGCTATCCGAACCAATCAGAATGCAGCGCGCCTAAATGGAGCACGAGAACAGAACAGACCGGGCGGGCATACAAACGTAACAGATTTTTTCCGCGCCCATGTTAACGGATCAGAGCGTTCACACTGCACGTGATTGCGGTCCGGCAGTGCGCTCCAGGAGCGGTGCGTCTGCAGCAGTCATGCTGCGATCGTTTCGGCACGGAATCTATTTCTGCTGTGCTGCACGCGCTGAATTAATGTGACAGTGCATTATTCACTGTAAAAATTAACATGGATTGACACGTAAATTTAGTAATTACACCATAAATGCATATAATTAAAGTCCACTGTTTCACAGTCAACACATGGGTTTTAGGCTAGATTTAAAACAAGGAAAAGTGCACTTTTCGTACTGCAAACGCGTCCCGTGCGAAAGCAAAATGCGTCCGTGCTGCTTCTGCACCGCATACACATACTGTATACTGCACTGCAGACGGAGTACATGTGAACTTGGAGCAACAAATCTAGTTCAACATCTGAGGCAACACTGTATATGCTTTTTAACCACAAGTGCACGTCTTACACTAGCTCTGTGATGCACGTCCGCAAATTCACGCATTACGCAATCACTCACGGTTAGCTCTTTGTCTGTCTACTCCAGTTCAAAAAGGTAGAGTAGGGTAAAAAAATCTCATTTTCTCCTCCAACTTCAAAATCATCCGACTTCGTTGTTTTACCTTTTTTTGTAAAAGGCATTTATCTTTTTTTGCACATTCGCTTTGTAAACACTGGGTCGGTATTTCTGCCTACGTCACACATGACCTTTCCAACGTGACTGTACATTTTTATTTTTTTAAGAAATTGACTGATCGTTTTGCTGGATAATACTCCTATTCCTCGGCTGGGATCGTGCAGAGCCCTTTGAAGCTGCACTGAAACTGCAATCTGGACCTTCAGCCCGTTGGTCCCCAATGAAGTCCATATGGAGAAAAATCCTGGAAGGTTTTCCTCAAAAACCTTAATTTCTTCGTGACTGAAGAAAGAAAGACATGAACGTCTTGGATGACATTGGGGTGAGTAAATTATCAGGAAATTTTTATTCTGGAAGTGAACTAATCCTTTAAATCTCCTATAACACAAATCCCTCGGTTTTTCCAAAGTGCCATCCCCCATTCATACCCGGAGGACTTCGTTCTTTCTTATCTTGAAGGTTGTCACGAGTGGACTAGCATGAGACATATTCTATGTGCGATGCCTGTGGCCAGTTTCTTTTCCAGTGTGTGACCTGCTTTTGAATAGCACGCAGTGGGCAGTCCACAATAAAGTTGTTTTATAAGATTTTCATAATTTTAATCAAATTCTAATAACTTTCTCCACTTCTTAAATGACTAATGTTACATCAGCAGGGATATATTACCCAGCAATCAGGAATCTGTCTTTCTTTCTCATGTGACAGATCCAGGGCTTTAATGTGGCTGGGAAGGATTTCTCTTACGCCAGTGACTGTGCTAGTTTCTTCACTCCTGGTATCTGGATGGGGCTTGTCACATCTCTTCTCATGGTGCTGGTTCTCACTTACGGCCTGCACATGATCATGCAGCTGCGCACCATGGACCGCTTTGATGACCCCAAGGGTCCTGCCATCTCTGTTCCCCAGACGGAGTAAAAGACACAGAGCCAGTTTCCTTTCTCATCCTCACATCACTAGTGTTTACTTTGGTTATTGATTTTGCAAGTGTTAATTTCTTGTTATTACATGTCATTGGGGTGCTGCTGTTTTTTTGTCATTCCTTTAATGGCATGTTCATGGTTGAATTTCAGGAATACATGTCTAGATAATATTTGAACAAATAAGATATATATATATATATATATATATATATATAGGACGTTTAAGATTTTTTGCATTGTGACATTATTGTTACAAGCTCAAGCTCCCCTAAATTCACATTATGTTTTACTTTTGGGTTTTTCTTCATTTTTATTATTATGTCAGTGGTGATGCTCATTAGTTTTGTATTACTGTAATACAAAGCATTTTATCTCAAGTGCATAAGTTAAAGGCAGTACTATTATGACGAATAAATACTTTCCATTTCACCTTACAGTGTAAAACTTTTAATGGTACTAAAATAGACTTATTTTTATGCAAAATATGTGAGTATGTCTTTGACAAGTCTTGTGAGATTCATTCTTGTCTTCTGTGGACTAAAAATCTCTAAAAATCTTTTCTTTTTTTCTTTTTTTTTTGCAGTTTCAGAATAACCTTATTGTTATTCATAAAACTGAGGCACCATTTAATGTGAACTGTACACTTTTTTGTGAACTGTACACTTTTCATTCTAAATTAATGGTATAAGATACATATCTATTAACAGACGGCTTTGTGTTTTGTGTGCTATAACTGTAAATATGTGTAAGTTATTAGAATAAATATTATTTATTGGTGGTGTGCATATATGTTTGCATCCAGTTTTTGTTTTTTAGCTTCTCTGCTGTTTCCCACATAGTTCTGTGGTCTGTTGCGAGTCCATAGATGTCTCTGTGTTGTTGTGAGAACTGACATGTTTTGACCACATGTAAATTTAAGCTTTGTTTTAAAGGAAAACATGTTGTGCACTGTATTTAAATATTAGGGGGGAAAAAGAGTACCAGAAACATATATATACATATATTGTTTTTTGTGTACAATTATTGTAGTGAATCATTTGCACAACTAGCTCTCATAAGTAATGTTTTATGTTCATGGCACATGTCTGGTTTATACCTAAAAGCTTAATAAATAAAAGGTGATCTGTTGTAATGTTTTGGAGGTGTATGCTCTTGAATGTGTATATTGTGCCAGTGTTTAATAAACCTAATTGAGACATAACCTTTGACATTTAATTACATTTTAATTATGTAGTTTTAGCTGACAGTTTGTGGTTATGCATGTTTATATGGTTATAAGGTTATGGTACAGCTTCTTTGACAGCTATAATTCAATTTTGTGTTCATGATGATATCATGTCTATCCATAATGCATAAATATTATTTTTGGTTGACGGAACTATGCATGCGTATTTATTTACATTGTCATTGTAGTCCAGCTCATCCACTATGGTGAGCAAAGTCTCTAATGTCAGCCTCCCCCTGACAGTGTACTACATGCTACACCAGCAGAACCAGTTCTTCTCTGGCTAAACAGTTTCAATTTTAACAAATGTTAACAATATTAAGTGTCTTTGAGGCTTGTCTGCTAATGCAGAGGACGTTGATTATGTTCCTAATTAGATGTGGCAACTGTTCAGTCTTTGTGAGGTCAAGCTTGGATTACTGGAGAGCGTTTTATTATAATTGTTCAGAGGGTTGTAATGCCATGGGAGGTCCAGACCCTACTGTACTTCTGTGGTCATACAAAGCTGGAGCAAAGTGTTGATCACAGGCCTCTACGTCTTTATAAAGCTGGAAGTATTTATCCACCTTCAACAGATTGGCCCACACATTGATTATGTAATAGATACATATCACTATTTTGCGACTCCACTTTTCTTACATGCTTTATATGATAAATAATATGTGGAAAGAAAACCCATGTAATTAGTTTGTGTTCATCATTAGCATTTAGCAAAAATGCTAAATTAAGGTTCTCTTTCTTTAATTTAATTACCAGGTTACTCCTTTAAATATAGCCCATTGGCATTTAGAGATAGGATGTCATAAACCTGAAAACGACACTTTAATTTTTTTTCTGACAAACTTGCAATCAAGAGGCAACATTTGTGACAATGAGGTGGAGCGACCACAAGGTGGTGCCCTTTAATCACCAATGAAAAAACAGAAAAAAGCAAACTATGAATTGTGGTGCACAAGTTAGCACTAAGTCATAAATAGTCATTATTTATGACCAAAGCTCATTTTAACCCTATACGCACCCTATTCAGTATATATTCCCTATCCGTACAGTCAGGAGGGGGATTAATATATAATTTCCCATAGCCATAATTCCTCTCTGCAAGCTGATAATGAACAGTCGGTTTATTGCTCAACATTTTCTATGCTTCAGGGTTAGACGGAAGTCAGCTCTCCTCTACCTCTGTTGCTCTCCTGAAAACCTCCGTTTCTCCTGGATTCCTTCCTGAAAGCCAGGTGTGCTCCCCTTCCTCTATTTGAACAGTAGCATCTTGGATTTTATGCTTATTTCAGTAGTCATCTCGTCCAACTGTTCTTTTAGATCCTGCTGAAAACTTGGCCAAAATGTAGTTCTTTTGTATTTCTGATTTCTAGTCGCCCATCCCTTTAAGTCATCATGGCTAAATGGATGGGCCTCAAAAATGAAAGTTCTGTCATCATTTACTCACCCTCGAGTTTCTTCCTTCTGCTGAAAATAGAAGATATTGTGAAGAATGTGGAAACAACTTGAGGGTGAGTAAATGATGACAGAACTTTCATTTTTGGGGGAACTATAGCTTTAAGTTTGCTAGTCAGAGTCGTCCTTTTCAGCTTCTGTCTCTTTTATGCATCCTAAAACCTCACCTTCCTGATATTCCTTACATTTTTAACTCTGATTTAAAAAGCAAACATGTTTGAATTCTGGGATTATATTTATCCGATACTGGAGCTGCATCTGCTGTCATGCTGTGTCGCACTGACCAATTCTGATGAAAGAGGAGGGAGAACCTGTTGTAAATCCTCACAGGAGCTTACGGGAATAGCAGCGGTGTCATTAGCTGCTATGTCACCTGCTGCAGGGCCTCAAACCCAAGCCCCAAGCTATTTGTGTCTGATACTGTAGCCATCTGCTTTTCTTTCTCACTTTCCGCGACCAGCTTAGGTGATTTGAAAATAGTGTGTATGATGCCCATGACAATATTATGTAGTTACAAGAAGAGCACTCTGAAAAGATTAGCATGAGGGGGGCCTGAAATACTCTCTACAAGACAGATGTTTGTTCTTGACCATTTTTTTTATTTTTATAGTAAAAAAGTCATTTTTATTCAAACAGACTTTAAGTTCACTTCTTACAGGTTAAGTCCTCCTGGAGTAACCTGAGGTTTAGTGTCTTGGTCAGGGTGGTATTACTATGCTTTTTAGGGGACTGAATATATATCAGTCAAACAAACCAAACAAACCACCACACCACACCACCCAATAAGTCTCTGACAACTAGAGATGCTAGTATAACTCTAATTAGACAAAGTAAACCCCAAACAATGTCTTAAATCTTCACAAATTAGCCTTGGCATCAGTGTTTACGTGTGTAAAATAATTGAATCTTCTGAAAATATTGCCCTGAAAACTATAAGCGCAATAATGATACATCATGGACTGATAGACTCTCTGTTGATCTTTCTCATCAAGCTTGAACATTTACTCTCCTGTGTACAGACAATCCAGGGAGAAACACCAGGAAGACATTTCTTCATTATTTATTCCACCCCTTTCATGAACTCCAAGAACTCTGCAATAGAAGGATAGTGGAAATGCATGGAAAAGGGACACAATGGGATACGTTTCTTTTTTTACTTCCATTTAACTTGAATGAAACACAATGCTTGCTTACCATCATAATCAATTTTTCCATCATTGTTTTTGTCTCCGTCCCTCATCAGTTCCTCAATGTCATCTTCAGTGATGGTTTCACCTGTAGCTTCCAGCATCAGCTTCAGTTCTTCAAGATCAATGTAACCATCTGCATTCCTGTCCAAATACAATCAAAACCCATCAGAGACCCCTCAACCCACCGCAGGTCAGTTCTCTTAGCTCAGTTTAAGATCGAACATACTTATCAAACATACGGAAGAGTTCAGCCAGCTCTTCCTCTGACTTTCCTTTGCTATCATCTTTCATGCATCTCACCATCATGACCAAAAACTCCTCGAAATCCACCGTACCACTGCCTGCATAAGTACACCGACAATTACTTATTTTAGCACAAGCTCATTTTAATGACAGTACCTCCATTGACATTTCATTTTTGGACATAAGTCTTTTATCCCTGTAGAATGTTCCTTTTGCTTTTCAGTTATTATTACTATACATTATTCAGTTAAATATGACGATTAGTATCAATGGTAAACATGTCATTAAAAAATGTAACTTACTACTTGGTAGCTATACAGATTATTTGTATGCTAGGTTTGGAGCAACATGAGGGTGAGTAAATGAAGTTAGGCTTCATTGCAAGTTAGGGTTCTGGAGCGTTACTAATTCTGGATCGCTCTGGACTTACCGTCCTCATCCACCTCATCAATCATCTCCTGGAGCTCCTCCGGCGTGGGGTTCTGGCCCAGCATCCTCAACACCTTCCCGAGCTCCTTAGTGCTGATGCATCCATCCTCAGCATCCTGAATGAAAATATCAAATGCTGCGCGGAACTCTACAAAACACCAACACAGATCTTTAACTGTTAGTTGTGTACACGTACAGTTTCTCTCTCGTGAACCACTTAATGATATTGTTATTGTGGGTCAGTTTAGTAAATCATTATTGCACACAGGCTATTGTTTTTATAGTTGGGTGTTAAATTCAGGCAGTTTTTTTTTTCATTGGTACTGCTGCAAAGTGTTTCAAATTTATAAACATACAGTACTGTGAAAAAGCTATTCTATCATTGCATTGTATGTAAAATAATCTACAGATGGAGACTTTGAACAACTGACAGAACAATCTTTTCAGGCTGGGCCATCCCACCAAATTCACTTTAAAAGCAAAGCGTGAGATACTACAGGAAGTCCAAGAGAAGCCCAGGGTGTCATTATAGGATCTACAGGCAGCTCTTCACAACAAATGGAAAGGAATTAACCATTAGAACGAGGCTGATCCTGTTACTGTCCAACACCAAAATGTACTTCTCATACAATGTGCTATGGACAGAC